TTGTTTGGCGGGCCCGGGCTGGGGATTCGAACCCGCCACCTTAGGTGTATGTGGCTGGCGCCTTAGCCGCTTGAGCCACAGGCGCCGAGCCATTATTTAAATTCTAAATCTGAAATAATAGAGTTCTCATCTAATCTGAGAACTAGTTTGAAACATACCGTACATTTAATTTTGTTCTTGGACTTAGCATCTAATTTGTATAACTGGTATTAAAAGGTAAGGTATTTTAAATTTGTGTAGATTTATTTAGTTTTCTCTCTCATCACAGCCCATTGATCTGAGTACATGCACTGTTGCACTGCACATCTTCCAGCTAAATGAAGATGGCCCCAGCAGTGAGAATTTGGAGGAAGAGACGGAGAACATAATTGCGGCAAATCACTGGGTTCTGCCTGCAGGTACTTTGCAATGTGTGGGACAGCTGAGGAAGGCTGGGGTCAGGGTATCACATGCTCCTTGGGCTTGGCAGGTCAGCTCACTAGCAGATACTGTTTGTCCATTTGTTTTGTGGGATTTTAGGATGTTTTATCCCTTGTGAAATGGGAAGTTTATCTAATAAGACTATGTTGTCCCTTCTGATGGTGCTAATGGAGGCTGACTGATTCCCTCTTTCCTGCCCCATCTGTCCTGCTACCTGCTCTTGACTCCTGCCTTCTCTGTCCTGCTCCTTGGGCTTGGCTGTCAGAGTGTGGACTGAATTTAGTCACTGTGTGGGGAGAAGGGAGGACCTAGTGCTTATGTGGAACTGTGCATAGTACAGGATACACTGTTTAATTATCTGGCAAAAGTCATATGTGGCCAGCATTTGTTTTGTATCTTCAATTTGTTTAAAAATTAAAATTTGAGAAAAAAATTGAAAGACTCACACTTTCTGGTAATCAGGGTCTTAGTCCACCGTGTATGGGACAGTGGGACATGCTAGTGGCTTAGGCAGACGGACTAGGGTATAACACTTGCCTTCCTAAAATTAGGTTTTGTTTTATTCTCTTGTAGCTGAATTCCATGGGCTTTGGGATAGCCTCGTGTATGATGTGCACGTCAAGTCACACGTATGTCACTACACTTTCTCTGTTGTTTAAAGAAGGACCACTGTTGTGCTTCTGTCAAGCACGTCTGAGCTCCTCAGTTTGCATGGGCTTTGGGAACCCCTATTCTGGGTATCTGCCACAAAGACTGCTCTAAAGTAGAGTTGGGCTTAGGGCATCCCTGGGGGAGCGAGGGGAAGGCAGTAGATTATGAGGACACTTGAACTGTGGTCTTCACTTGAATTCTCAGAAAGTGGGCAGGCCCGGCATCCTACCCGCAAGTAGAACGAACGTCACTCAGCCCTCTATCCCAAGGCTGCCCCTCAGCATTTTGGCTGCTATGATTTTTGAGTAAATAGGTCATGTGTTTACTCACTGCTATGAGAACTTATCACTTGATAAGTCCCTTAATGATTTTGTTTAACATTGGCATTTTAAATAAAAATGGCGTTTGTTTCCCTTCCTATATCTGTGGTGCTTGTAGCTGGCACTGGCCGTGCTGCCTTCCCTCTTGGCTGATCTGGCCAAGCAGCACACACACCACTCCACAGTGACAAATGCTTCAACGTGAGGCCAAAGGATCAAGTTCTATGGCTCAGCAACAGTGAGGGAACAGGGTGCAGAGGCCTGGGGAATGGAATATGTGTCAGCCAAGGTGCCTTCTGATACTAGACCCCTTGGACACCACTGAGCATCAGGAGGTGGGGCCCTCTGGAGACAGCTTTGCCTCTTGCCCCCTTCTTATTTAGGACCGAGCTTCAGCAGCACACATAGTAGAGCCTTTGCTGTGTTGGTATCTTTTTTTTTTTTAATGTGTTTTTTTCTTTTCTCCTATCAGCTCCTTGATTATGTGATGACAACTTTATTGTTTGCAGACAGGAATGTCAACAGTAACCTCATCACCTGGAACCGGGTAGTACTGCTACATGGTAATACAAGGGCAGGCAGCTGCGCTCACCAAGTTTGCTCCACCAGCCATTGGCCTTTGGTCTTCTGCAAGGAGTTACGGCTCTTTGTTTTCTAAAGGAGCCAGCATTGCTGTAGAATATTCTCTGTGCAGCTGATCCAGCTCATAATGCTTTGAACATTTATTACTTGACTTTCATTAAATAGTCCCATTTATCTGTGGAGTACGTCCCGAGACATTCCACAGATGCGTGGGACCATGGGTAGTCCAAATCCTAACTATGTTGTTTGTTTCTGTACATAAGTTCTTGTGATAAAGTTTAATTTATAAAGAGATTAACAACCATAACTAATAATAATACAGAATAATTAGAATAATATGTTATAGTAATAGTTATTTAATACTTGTGAATTATTTCTGGAATTTTGTGTTTAGTATTTTTGGACCGGCTTGGCACCCGTGGCTCAAGCGGCTAAGGAGCCGGCCACATACACCTAAGCTGGTGGGTTCAAATCCCGCCCAGGCCCGCCAAACAACAATGACGGCTGCAACCAAAAAATAGCCAGGCATTGTGGTGGGCACCTGTGATCCCAGCTACTTGGGAGGCTGAGGCAGAGACTCGCTTGAGCTCAAGAGTTGGAGGTTGCTGTGAGCTGTGATGCCACGGCACTCTACCCAGGGGGACAGCCTGAGGCTCTGTCTCAAAAAAAAAAAAAAGTATTTTTGGACCATAGTTAGCCTCAGGTAACCAAAACCTTGCAAAATAAACTGCGGATGGGGGAGTACCATGTTATTACTAAACAGTTCAGGAACCTCTGCCTCTTCTCCATAACTGATCATAACTCCTTAGAATGGAAACTGTCTCGTATTTCTTTGTGGTATGCTCAGAGCCTCATTTTGTGAGTAGTAAACTGAAAAAGCCACATTTTAAAGTAATTCTGCCTGGTTCTTATCAGAAGGAAATGATGGATTTTATTTGTTTTTAACATCCCTGAGCAGAAAGGGGGCAGAGGAGCTTGTTAGAGCAAGGGGAAATAAACAGCACTTCCCTCTGTGCCAGTTCAGGCTGTGTGACTAGAAAGCAGGACATGCCGGCTACCTGGCAGCTGCCCTAGCACATTGTCAGAATAGGCAATCAATAGGTGTTTTATGTAGCAAAGTAAATTATTTGGAGCTAGATGTCTATTTCCTCTTTAATTACTGAAAATTCTTACAGAGAGCTAGGGTTGAACACATCTGCATTTACTGTGAGATGCATTTGTTCTTCCCTGGGGGTTATCTGGAAACTTTGCAAGGCCCTGATCTGAGCACTCCTGGTAGGGAGCTGCATGGGAGAAGCTCTCAGGAGGCACCTACAATGGACAAGGGTGCTATTTAGTTGGGAGAGAGGCCTTGGGGCCAGGAGGGTCAGCCCTGCGCTTCTGCTTGTCAGGAAAGGCCTGTTTGACTTTTGGAAGGTGACTTGGCAAGTGGCTTTCACAGAGGAAATGTGAGAGAGGTGTCTGTGAGGACGTAGACTGAAAAAGGCGTTTGCTCACAGTGGTGGTGGGGGGAAGCTGAGACCAGATACACAAGTCAAGTTCAAATTAGTAAAAAGGAGGGACAGACTTTTAAGTGTACTGGTAACATTGTATCGCATTGAAGCTGCTGGCAGACTTCTTTGTAAGTTAACAGGTATTTATAGTAATAACATTACTAGAGTTTAATTCTGGGTTTTTTTTATTTTTTATGTAGATACTGCAACTATTATTTTAAGAAATTTGTTACAGCACTAACTTAAAAACATTTGCTTGGATCTCGTTATAGGTCCTCCAGGAACAGGAAAAACGTCCCTGTGTAAAGCATTAGCTCAGAAACTGACCATTCGGCTTTCCAGCAGGTAACTCTGGTGATTTGAGATAGACCATTTAGAATGGGATTAATGCCATAACAAGCCTTTTTTTTTTTTAAATCATTTTACACAAATGATAATTTCCTCTCCTTCAGTGTTAAGCCACTTAATCACTCCAACTCAGTGTAGTCTTAGCATTAGAATCTCAGTCTCCTAAAACATTTTTTATTGAGACAGAGTCTCACTATGTCGCCCTCGGTAAAGTGCCATAGCACCACAGCTCACAGCAACCTCAAACTCTTGGGCTTAAGTGATTCTCTTGCCTCAGCCTCCCAAGTAGCTGGGACTACAGATGCCCGCCAAAACGCCCAGCTATTTTTTGGTTGTAGTTGTCGTTGTTTGGCAGGCCCAGGCTGGGTTTGAACCCGCCAGCTTTGGTATATGTGGCTAGCACCCTAGCTGCTGAGCTACAGTCCGCAAGCCTCCAAAAACTTCTTCAGACTTTTTTTCCTGCCAGTTTGTGGTCTGTCTTGGTGAATTACACGCTCTTGCTGGAGGCGTGTTCTGCAGACGTCAGGCCAGGGTGTTTGGTAGCCTTGCTGACCTTTTGTCCACTGTCTTACCAGTTTCCATCAGGTAACTCTGGAATGAGAGAGGAATGTCAGGGTCTAATTGTGGCTTTGTTTATCCTTGAATTCTGTCTTTTGGGGATTTATGGTTTTCACTACATTTGGAAATAATTTGGTTGTCATTTCTTCAGCTAATTTCCTTACCCTCCTCTCTGTCTGGAAACCCGTTGATCTGCGTGTTGGACTGCCTGGCTCTGCTCCACAGAGTACATTTGTTTTTTTAGCTTTTAAAAATGTCTGTACTATTTCTTTTTGAACAATTTCTACTGCTGCATCTTTAAGTTCACTGATTTTCTGCAGTGTCTAATCTGCTGTAAATTCCATCCAGCGGAATTTTTATTTATGACAGCGTATTTTTCTTCTTTAAAGGTTCTATTTGATTCTTTTTATGCTTTTCTTTCTTTCGTTATGTTCTTTTTTGTTGTTTTCAGATTAATTGAGAGTACAAAGAGTAAGGTTATAGGCTCGATGCCTGTGGCTCAAGTGGCTAAGGTGCCAGCCACATAAACCTAAGGTGGTGGGTTCGAATCCAGCCCGGCCCGCCAAACAACAATGACGGCTGCAACCAAAAAATAGCCAGGCATTGTGGTCCCAGCTACTTGGGAGGCTGAGGCAGGAGACTCGCTTGAGCCCAGGAGTTGGAGGTTGCTGTGAGCTGTGATGCCACGGCACTCTACCCAGGGGGACAGCTTGAGGCTCCTGTCTCAAAAAAAAAAAAAAAAAGAGTAAGTTACAATGTTTGCATTTGTTAAAGTCCCTCTTATGATTGTGTCCCACCAAGAGGTGTGCTGCACCCTAACCTTGTGTCCCTTAAGTGGAAGCACAGCCATCCCCCTCTCTCCTCCCTTCTCCCCACCCCCTTGTTCCTGTGTATTAGATTGTCTACTGGCTTCATATTAGAATTGAGTACATTGGATTCTTGCTTCTACATTCTTGTGAGACTTTACTAAAAAGAATGTGTTTCAACTCCATCCAGATTGATAGAAAATTTGTAAAGTCTCCATCTTTTTAAATGGCTGAATAGCATTCCATGGTGTGCATATACCACAGCTTGTTAATCCATTCCTGGGTTGGTAGGAATTTTGGTTATTTCCACATTTTGGTGATTATAAAAAAATATGGAATGCTTCATGAATTTGCGTGTCATCCCTGCACGAGGACCATGCTAATCTTCTCTGTATCATTCCAATTTCAGTATTTGTGGTGCCAAAGTCAGTACTTTTCACTATGTTCTTGTCAAAATCTTTAACAAGTTTATAATAGCTGTTTTAATGTTCTTGTCTTCTAATTCCATCATCATTATCATTTCTATTGATTGATTATTCTTCTGCTTGCAGTTACATGTTTTTGCTTCTTGGCCTGTGAAGACCTTTTTTATTTAATACTAAACACTGATTTGAAATGACTGGCTTTTCTTGTCTTGATTTAATGACTTGGATTTTGTTTTGGTAGGCCTTTCTTGGGATTGGAGTGATCCTTTTGAGGTTTCTTTTTAAGCTTTGTTAGGGAGAGGTTTAGTCCTCTGCAGACCTGGAAAATCAGTGTATGCTCTTACTTTGGTGGTGGAGTTTGAACATGCCTCACCCTATGTGAGCTCTGGGAACCCTTTGGCTCACAGACCTGCAGTCACTCTTCACTGGCCTCGTGGAGTTTCCCTAACTATAAGTACCTTAGTGTTCAGCAGACACAGGGGTCACCAGGACAATTTCTATGGCTTTCCTCCTGGAACAGGGGTCCTCAAACTTTTTAAACAGGGGGCTAGTTCACTGTCCCTCAGACGTTGGAGGGCTGGACTGCGGGCCTCGGGACAAGTCAGCTGCTAAGCAGGACAGGCAACAGCACAAAAACACCCAGCAGGCTGGATAAAAGTCCTAGGCGGGCTACATGTAGCCCATGGGCCGTAGTTTGAGGACACCTGTCCTGGAGTATTCTCTGTGTCTGCTTCTCCCTGGAATTCTGCTTGGCAGCCTCCAGCCATCCAGCTCCCTGAGTGCTGAGCTCTGGCTCCTCTCCTCAGGGGCTGTGCTCTGCTCAGGTCCTTCCCAGGATTGTGGTTGGAAGGAGCCTCTAGGCGGGAAGCCAGGGCAGTTGTGGGGTTACTCACTTCCCTTCTCTTGGGGTCACAGTCCTTCATTTTCTGTTGTCCAATACCCTTACCAGTTGTGGTTTCATTTATTTTGTCTAGTTTTCTCATTGTTAAGGCAGACAGTAAATCTGGTACTTCTTACTCTACTACTAGAGGGAATCCTGGGAGATACAGTTTTATATATCTATTTTGTTTCTTTTCAAAAAGAAAAATCTTTTAAGTAATTTTGCATAGGAAAGTTGCTTTATTTCCACCCCAGATGTTATATTCAGCAACTTGGTGGTGTTTTGATATGTCAAAATGCATCTGTATTTTGAAGATCTCTAGGGTCAGTTTCCTAAAACACCAGAAATAACATTTTCCAGTATAAAGATTTGAAAATAGGTAGTTTTTAATGACTTAGAAATAGTGAAAAGAATCCTTAGCCTTTCTTTCTCATTCTGTTAAATAACCAATGTTTTATAATTCATTTTGTTTAATATTCAAGCCAGTTTATTTCACTGTATTGTCTGTACTCCTTCCTCTTCTGTAAACAGTATTAGTAAATGGCCTTTTTCTCTTTCTGAAAATACTTGTTTTTCTTCTGTGGACTTTTGACATGGAAGAGACTGAAAAGAGGACTGAGAGTCAGCCTCTTGCTCCCATCCCTTTTCCTGTTGGATTTAGTCCAAGCTTGGTGCTCCCGGCTCTGCCAGAGCCCTGAGTGTACACAGGAATGTTGCTGCCAGACTCCAGGCAGGTGGCTGGCGCTGTTGGGCACCCAGGGCTCTAGGATCTGTGCTGTGCTTGTCAGGGTTTCCTGGAAATAGGAAAACATATGGCTTCTACCAGGAACTCTTGATGCCTCTGCTTTGATTTGCTTGCTGTATTGGTATTATTAATAAATATATTAAAAATGAGAGAGTTTTTACTTTCTAAATCAAATAATACTGTAGAAAAACATAATTTGGTATAATCTAGAGCTACTAATTGCATTGGGTTTAAATTGTTCTCAATTTAGCACACAGAGGGCTTGGTGCCTTAATTCTTTGTCAGCAACTTTGATGACTTAATGAGTTAGTAATTACCATCATGCTGGGTAGTTGGGAGATGCTGTATCAGAGAAGCAAGAGTGGTGGCCACCAAGGATGCACCAGGACTGCTCAGTAATTTCCTAACCCCTTTTATCATCTTAGGTACCGGTATGGCCAATTAATAGAAATAAACAGCCACAGTCTCTTTTCTAAATGGTTTTCAGAGGTGAGTATTGAATATTCTAATTGTCTGATTGTCAACAATCTAGCTAAAGAAACCTGTTCCATATATTAGGCAAATGCTCTTTCAGTAGCTTCAGGAGAAAAATAGATAAAATGGGGAATGGAATAACAGTGGTGAGAAAAGGGTTCCTGTGCTGGGCATAGCAGGCCTCCCTCGGTCCCATCCCAGACTTCTGCTGGCAGACCTGGCCAATTCATGTGGACCAGCTGAGCACGCCACTGAAGCCTGTGTGGCCAGGCCAAGTCCTGGGTGTCCCTTCCTCTGAGGGGCTGTGTCCCTCTAGTGAGATGAAGTAGGATTTGGGTGCACTGTAGACCAGGCATACACCCCAGCCAGCAAATCCTTGCAGCTTTGGTCTGCTTCCTCCGGGATCAGTGAGGACAGACCAATGAGTGGAGGCATGGGTCACCCACACCACCACCCTGGAAGAGCAGGTGCAGGCAAGGTCCCAGCAGAGAGGGAGCCTTCAGGGTAACTTCCTCCCATGCCAACCTGGCTCTTCTGATGCAGGTGTATTTGGAGGGGCCATCAGAAGATGGTGGGCAGGTGGGCACCTAGGATGGAGGTCACATGGGGCCATGTGCACCTGCAGTATGCTCACTGCAGTGGACACTGAGAGAGTGTTTTGGTTCCAGAGTGGCAAGCTGGTGACTAAGATGTTCCAGAAGATTCAGGATTTGATTGATGATAAAGATGCTCTGGTGTTTGTGCTGATTGATGAGGTGAGCATGTTCAGATTTTAATTCAAGAACAAGTTACCTTGGGTTGCTGGGAGGCAGCCTACCTCTGTAGCTCCCTGGCACATCTCTGGTCTTCCCTATATCCCAGGCTAGACATGTGGACACCCCTTCACTCATTCACCCACTTGCTCAGTGGACATGTCTCTTTGTGACTCATCACTCTCTCCCTCTCCCTGCAGGTGGAGAGTCTCACGGCTGCCCGAAATGCCTGCAGGGCAGGTGCTGAACCGTCAGATGCCATCCGCGTGGTCAATGCTGTCCTCACCCAGATCGATCAGATTAAAAGGTAACGCTCTGGGCTTGGTGCCCATAACACAGTGGTTATGGCACCAGCCACATACACCAAGGCTGGTGGTTTTGAACCCAGCCTAGAGCCAGCTAAACAATAATGACAACTGCAACAAAAAGCCGGGCATTGTGGTGGGCACCTATAGTCCCAGCTACTTGGGAGGCTGAGGCAAGAGAATCACTTAAGCCCAAGAGTTTGATATTGCTATGAGCTGTGACACTACGGCACTCTACCCAGGGCAACATAGTGAGAGTCTGTCTCAAAAAAAAGGAATGACATGTAGGGACTTTATCTAAGAAGTGACAGAGGAGTTGTTCCACAGGAATGTGTGATTGTCGGGCAACTCCTTATCTCACCACAGCTCCTTTAACTGAAAGTTCATCTAGCATTGGGTGTTAGCTCTGTCTTTCTGCTCTGGAGGTAACACATTAGAAACAGATTTTTAAGAAGTTAAGTGTTTTTTAATTTATTAAAGTATTAAAAATGGGCTGGATGCAGTGGCTCACACCTGTAAGTCTAGCATTCTGGGAAGCGAAGACAGGAGGATCCTTTGAGCTCAGGAATTGGAGACCAGCCTGAGCAAGAGCAAGACCCCATCTCTACTAAAAATGGAAAAACTATTGGCAGGTGCCTATAGTCCCAACTACTCTGGAGGCTGAGACAGGAGAATTGCTTCAGGCCAGGAGTTTGAGGTTGCTGTGAGCTAGGCTGATGCCACGGCACTCTACCCAGGGCAACAGAGGAAGACTATCTCAAACAAAAAAGGTATTAAAAATGTTGTAGGAAACACCTTGGTAATAAGTGAATGGGGAGGGGATTGGTCTCTTCATTAAAGAGCACGAGAGCACGTACATCATTGCTTGGCAGTTTCCACACCTGTGATATAAATAGCCATGGGATCACTTCTTCCCTTCTATAAATAGCCACAGGAGAAGCTAGTCGAGGCTTCTACTAGGCTCCTCTTCCTAAGACTGATTGCTGCACTGTTGAGGCGCTCCGGCACCTCTGAAATGACTGATACAACTGGCTCCTCCTGATGGGGAGCCTTATCTGACCAGGCTCCCTGGCATATACCGGAAGCAATACCCCGTGGGAGGGTGAACAGCAGTCCATGTCCTGGCAGGTTCATGGGCTGGGGCTGGAGACATGGCATCTCTGTTTCGACAAATGTAAAACAAAACTGGGCATGGTAAAATTTTATACAGTGCAGAAAAGCATGAAATAGTAAAACATTGCTGTGTCCAAACACTAGTGTCCTCACCAAGTGCTGCAGTTTGTGGGAGAAGGACTGCCACCCCTTGCCTGCCGGCCCCATACAGAAAGGCTGGTGGCCCCAGACCTCAAGTCTCCACAGTTGATCCCCCAAAGGCTCAGGGCCTATTTCCAAGCTTTAGGGAGTGATGGCTGCTAACACACCTCTTGTGGAAGTAATATACAGACTAACTCTTCCACTATCAACACAGTACTCATATCTCTTCTCTGAAGTACCTTGGGGTAATGGGTCCCGTGTGTTAATCATTGCAGGCTGTGGGATATGGCTGGCAGCAAACTGTGCAGGGAGCAGTGACCCAGGCCCTGGCAGGTGCTCCCACACAGAGGCCAGCTTCCTAAGACAACAGCTATCTCCCAGGTCAGCTGTAGCCGGGCTTAGACAAGGCAGAAGGCCCTGGAAAGAGCAGAAGATGCAGCCTTCCTGGTTTCTCTGACCTTTGTCACCTCACACTCCTGTCTGCTCCCATGCCTGTGCTGACTGTGCTCCTCCTCACCTTCCATCGGGCAGCCCCTCTGCCTCCCAGCCACCCTCTGGATGCTGACCTGAGCAGACTGTGCTCACCAGCCTCTGTACCCTGTTCCCTCCGCCTGGGGACTCCCCCATCTCTACCCTCACTGGGATCACCCCAGCTCACTTGCGGGGGGCTGTCCGCCCTTGCCAGAGTGTAGGTGAAGTGGACCCTCCAAAGGGCTCCCCTGGCCACAGAGCTGCCTGTTCCACCCTGGGCCCAAGAGGATAGCACTGTTACTCCTGCCACACAGTCCCTGCCAGACCAGGAAAACTGTGCCTGCCATGCTGCCATGTGCTGGGCCCTAAGGACACGGGGCAGCAGACCAGACAGCAGCAGCTCTTTGCAGAGTTCATAAGCTGGAAGGGAGAACAAATGGTGAATGTGATGGACAGTTGACCTCCACCTGTGTCCAGAGTTATGCAAGCTATGGATAAACAGTCCTGTGGCCATGACAGAGGTGTAGGAGACTGGGTGGTCAGGGATGCTGCACAGAAGGGAGACTGTTGTTAAGGCTGAGACAGTGAGGGAAGGGGCCTGGGAGGTTCTGTTCTGCATGGTCGTTTTAGCTGGGAGAGCCTGGATGATAGGTGGAAGTTCAGGGCTTGTCAGACCTTGGTAAGACCTATGGGGCACAGCTGCCTGGGCAGTGCCTGCTGACCCTGGTGTCTAGTTGACAGGTCTTTCTGGCTGTCCCTGCTGCTTGGCCTCTGCTCAGATACGATGGGATACAATTGAGCCACAGACGCCGTGACTGCTGTTCTCTCTTCTTGGCCACAATAGGCATTCCAACGTCGTGATTCTGACCACTTCCAACATCACTGAGAAGATAGATGTGGCTTTTGTAGACAGGGCTGACATCAAGCAGTATATTGGGCCACCCTCCATGGCAGCCATTTTCAAAATCTACCTCTCATGCTTGGAGGAACTGATGAAGGTACCTTTATTATTTCTTCTCATGCTCAGATTCCTTATGTGCTTTTAATTGAAATAACTTAAAGTATGCTAGTTACAATATAGAATAAAATATTTTAACATAGGCATCTTCTTAGACTAAAACTTGGAATTTTGTTGTATCTGACAGGTTAACAGTCCAAGTTATGGCCACAATTAAATATGTTTGCACTTGTGGCATAATATGGTTATGATTTTTTTTTTTTTTTAAGAGACAGAGCCTCACTTTGTTGCCCTTGGTAGAGTGCTATAGCGTCACAGCTCACAGCAACCTCCAATTCCTGGGCTTAGGTGATTCTCTTGCCTCAGCCTCCCGAGTAGCTGGGACCACAGGCACCTGCCACAACACCCAACTATTTTTTTGTTGCAGTTTGGTCAGGGCCAGGTTTGAACCCACCACCCTCCGTATATGGGGCTGGTACCCTACTCGCTGAGCCACAGGTGCCACCCAGTTTTTTATTATTTGAGGTACTGATGTATAAGAAGCTGGTGAATAGGCCATAGTTAGCCTACTGGCAAATCCTGGCTCCATCTCTACTAAAAATGGAAAAACTATTGGCAGGTGCCTATAGTCCCAACTACTCTGGAGGCTGAGACAGGAGGATTGCTTCAGGCCAGGAGTTTGAGGTTGCTGTGAGCTAGCAACCTCTCGGCTTATCAGAGCCTTGGCTGGTGACCAGTGACCTGCCTCCCTCGGCCCAGATTTCCTCACCTGACTCAGTTCACAGGGCATTTACACTGCCTGAAGGTTGGGGTTCATGGGAGGTCATGCTCACTAAAGGTTGAAGTCACAGGGGGCTGTCATCTGACTGAAGGTCAGGGTCATGGGGCTGTCATCTGAAGGTCAGAGTTCATAGGAGGTCTTGCTGACTGAAGGTCAAGGTCATGGGGCTGTCATCTGACTGAAGGTTGAGGTTCACAGAGCTGTTTTTGACTGAAGTCAATGTTCATGGGCCTGTCATGGCTAAAAGTTGGGGTTCATGGGGCTGTTATCTTACTGAAAGTTGGGGTTCATGGGGCTGTTATCTTACTGAAGGTTGGGGTCACAGGCTATTGTCTGAAGTGATGGTGTCTCAGTTTGCATGTGTGCTCGAGGTGAGGGCTGTGTCATTGGTTCAGGGACCCACAGAGGCTGTGGATCTGTCTGAGACCCACCTGTGCCTGTTTCAGGTGTTCTTGAAGCTGGGTGGATGGCAAGTTTCTGCAGGAACGTACTGAGAGCTGAGTTTAGGAGATTACAAGCAAGAAATGGGGATTTTAATGGTAGTTATTTTCATGGAGTTGTTACTACCACCTGGTGGGGCCACGCACTCTGCAGCCAGTACCTGACACAGAGCAGTGGCCTCTGTGTCCACGACAAGGATGATATAGCCTCTCTTGGGGGTGAGAGAGCGAGTCTCAGCCATGAGCCCCCTGAAGTTGCCCTGAGTCTGTGCTGTCCAGGCGTGTGGATTCCTGTGGAGTGTGAGACGGACAGGGGCTCTATGGAGGTCTGAGAGCTTACAGGTTTCTGAAGAAAGAGCCTAAGGGCAGCTACTGCTGAGGAGCCCCATGTGCCTGCACATCCTATAAGGCCATAGTAAACATCAGATGCCTTGATGTTTGTGTACTTGTTCCAAGAATCTTGGGTTTTGATTTTAAGTTTTATCTAAAAGTATGGACTTATGGGAGCTGGGAACATAGGGCAAAGGTAGATTCTTAGGCAGTTTACATGAGGTTAAGATACTCAGATGTTATAGTGGACATTTGGTTTCAAAAGCCATCAGCATGTAACTGGGAGCCTCTGATCTGGACATGTTCATGTGTGCCCACTGCAGGGAGGTGGGGTCCCCAGGGAATCCAAAAGAGCGTCACCTTAGTGAGTCAGGTGGGGGGTGAGAACATGGAAACAAACTGTGTTTTTTAATTTTACCTATAATCTTCACCAAACCTCTAAAATATACAGAGAATGCTATATTCTTTCTCTTGTCTCCTGGTTCCTGAATCAGAACAGTCATATTATCATCATAGTAACGGTCATTGTGCCCACCTGACAAAATAGTTCAGTGTGGCAAAGAGTTCCTGATTTCCGACACATGATCTGGGAGGCGAACTTCTGGCGCCCAGTTCCTTGGTCAGTCATAAAAGATAGGCAGCTAAAGGCCCTTCTTTGAAAGACAGGTGGAGTCATGGATGCAGGTCTCAGCTTTGCCTGCCTGTGTTTTGACTGAATCACAGATTGGACTCTGCCTTTATGTCCCTTCCAGCCTGACAGGCAGTGAGGAGGCATTTTGTCCGTGATCACAGAAAAGGCTGAGTTGCTCTTCTCACGCATCTGTGTGTTAGGGATGGTCACTGTTGGATGTCTGTAAGATGGATTGGGGTTCACATGAGGCCTACGAGTGTCTCCCTTGCAGACTGTGCTGTGCTCTGTCTTTGGACCCTCCTAACTGTGGTGCCTCTGTCTCCCCAGTGTCAGATCATATACCCTCGCCAGCAGCTGCTCACCCTCCGGGAGCTAGAGATGATCGGCTTCATTGAAAACAACGTGTCGAAGTTGAGCCTTCTTCTGAGTGAAATTTCAAGGTGCAAATTGACCTCATATTTATAATCAAGAAAAATTAAGTGCTGTAGTAACTGGGAAGTCATAGCTTCCTCTGTGGAATCCCGGGAGGTCTGTGCGTGTGGGCGCTTAGCACACCACAGGGATGAACATGCATGTGTCGGGGGTGTGTGAGCACAGGGACTGAGCATAGCAAGGACAGTTGGCATACGTGCTGGAGGCCTGGTATCGAGAGCTGTTCCAAGTGTTCTCAGAGTTCAGAGAAGGGAAATGGCTTTTGTGATGAAGGGAGGGTGAGCGGAGGGTTGGAGAATGGAGTAGAGCCTCAGAAGATAGGATTTGGGTATAAGTAGGCAAAGTCAGAAGGCTATAGGGGTGATGTGCTCAGGGGGCCCCAGCAGATGGCAACACAGACAGGCAGTGCAGGAGAGGCTAGGGATGCAGTGGAGCTGCTGGCCAGAGTTTGAACTTTATTCTGGAAGGTTTGGAATGAGGGACAAGGTCAGACAGGCACAGTGGCTCATGCCTTGGCTGGGAGGCCAAGGTGGGAGGATCTCCTGAGCTCAGGAGTTCAAGACCAGCCTGAGAAAGAGTGAGATTCCATGTCTACTAGAAAAACTAGCTGGGTGTTGTGGTGAGTGTCGATAGTCCCAGCTACTTGGAGGCAGAGGCAGGAGGATCTTTTGACCCCAAAAGTTTGAGTTTACTGTGAGCTATGACACCATGACACTGTACCCCAAGGCACAGAGTGAGACTTTGTCTCAAAAAAGAAGTTGGGGGTGGGACAACATGAAGAATGCAGTATTTTAGAAAGCTTGGGGGTTTTGTTGGGGAGATTTAAGGAAGTTAGGGAAGTTAGGGAAAGAAGAAAACAGCACAAAGACTTCTGCTTCTACACGAACCGGCCAATTGTCTGGGAAGTTCATGCTAGCTGACACCTGTCCACCACATAGCACTCCGTGCCCTCACATCCCTTGCCCTATGCCTCGAGCACAGAGACAACAGCCACACAGTGGGGCTCAAAGCTGCACCTCAGGTGGCTCTTCAAGGCAGCAAGGATGTGGCCTCACCTAGAGCAGGAGCTCAGGCCTGAGGGGCCGAGCCCCATTGTAGGGGCTGTAAGCAAAAGGGATACTCAGGGGTCAAGGCCAAGGGGCCAGGAGGGCTGGGTGCCTCTGAGGCCCAAGTTGAGCCTACAGGGGGTTTGTGCTCCCAGGGATGTATATCTGAAATTGACACCCCTGAACTTGGTTGTCTTCCCACAGGAAGAGTGAGGGCCTCAGTGGCCGGGTCCTGAGGAAGCTCCCTTTCCTGGCTCATGCGCTGTACGTCCAGGTGAGTCCCCCTATACGTCCCCAGCTTTGGGCACTCTGTCCTCCAGCCAGTGTCCTCTGGGAGTCTGGGGCAACAGAAGGAGCCAAGCGGGCCCCTTAGCCAAGGGGCCATCTTGAGCCTTTCAAAGCATGTGCTGGGCTCACCAGTCTCACGGACATCTGCGTCTGTGCATGTGGCAGCTCCTGTCCAGCCCTTCCTCACCCTTCAGCGGTGCTCACACCCTTCAGGTCTGAGCTCGGTCAACAGCAACCTGGCGTCATGCTTCACTTCCTCCACTGTGGGCCCCCACCACACAACCAGTAGCCAAGAGGAAACCCATTCCCAGCAGCTGGTCAGGCTGAGGGTTCTGAGTATTAGCAGAACAGATACAGGAACATCTGCCATGACAAAACATGCATCTTAAAATGGTTCCTTTCAATTCAGTCAGCCTGTGCTCTGGTCAGCAGTGGCCTTTGTGCTGGGCATGGCCCTCCGTGCGGACGTGACACAGCTAACTGTGGACCATGAGCAGGAGCCTTCACACAGCTCTGGGCACTGGGCCATGGTAAATGTCTGGTAGGAGCCAGCAGTGTCTTGGGGCCTGCAGAGCCCCCAGACACCAGGTGAGCCTTTTGAGAAGGGTCTGTTCCCAGCATCTTCTCTTCTAAATATGTTGGCAGCTGGCCCAGTGCCCACCTGCAGGATGACCTTTGCTGCAGTAATGAGCAGGTACGCCTGGTATGCCCAGACTGTGCAGCCAGCCCTGCCTCACTGTCAGCACCATGCTGGGGTGTTACTGCCTGCTGCCCTATAAGGGCAGGGAGCCCCAGTGATGCCCATGTGTCTTTCCAGGCCCCTACTGTCACCATAGAGGGGTTCCTCCAAGCCCTGTCTCTGGCAGTGGACAAGCAGTTTGAAGAGAAAGAGAAGCTCACAGCTTACGTTTGATACTAGGCTTCCCCATCGGTGGATTCATACAGAGACCCATGGCCTGCAGCCCCCATTCAGCAAGCCAGTAGCCCAGGAGGCCACGCTTCATTCAAAGAAGTGTGTTGTATTTATGTTATTTTAAAGTGTGTGTTAGAAGACAAATTATAAGAAAGATGTGTCACTTTTATTGTTTTTAAAGGATAGTTCAGATTCTGCTTGTCAATTTGTAAAGAATTAAGCATGTTCATTCCCGACCTTCCCCCAGTTGGATACAATGCTAACTTTGTTTTTAAAAAAGCAACATTGATACTTGTATTGTAGAAACAAAAGAGAAACTATCAGCCTAAATAAGCAGCAATCACAGTGTAAAAAAGTGTCCACAGCACTCCATTAGAAGGCAGCCCTTGCTTTCTGATCTCAGCTTTTTTGATTTAATGCAAAAATGTTTTAGACAAGAAGACCCTATTCCTGTGTCATAGAAACTGAGAAAAACATTTAGATGACGTGTTCTTGTACGTTACCAGTCAGACACGGTACCCCCTGTGAGGAGAACTAGTGGCCTTGGTGTTCACGTGAGCTGTTCTGACCCCTGTTCCAACACAGGCATCTCTCAGACACTTCTGCCCGTGGTTTGCTTTGATCAATGATGTTATTCATGTCTCAAATGAGGATTCATAGAGTATAAAATAAATGAGTCAATAATTAACATATTCCACAGAATATTAAGGTTTGGTCTCATGCCAAAATAAATTTTGTATTAGTGCTTTGTACATGAAGTTCACTTTTTGTTATATAACATTTTAAATATTAAATTTTTAAAGGAATTTTCTCTTGTTTGAGTCTAAGTACCTCTCCTAAATGTCTTGTATTTTATTAAAAAGTATTCATTGTATATTGGTTTTGCTAAGAAAAAATAAAAAGGAGGAAAAAAGTATTTATATGACTACTAGCATTAAGCCTTTCTATACTTTGTGCTGTCTGCTAGGCCTTCACTCTGGGTCCTGCCATGGGAAAAAGCCTGGCTCTGTGATCTTGAGACCCATGTGGGGCTTGTGGGGGCAGAGGCATACCCAAAAGGGTCTTCCATTAACACCCCACACCATTGCTCTCCAGGAGCCAATTTGGGATCCACAGGGAAAGGCCCTTGTTCTTTGAGGTACAATTTCAGCATTTTAAAACAGCCTGCAGGGGCCAGCAGGATATAGTAAACAAAGCAGAGCTGATCTGGAGTAAAGGTAGGTACCCCTAAGAGGACAGGAACAGCACAGGCTGCCACTACAGGAGTATGTCAGATACAAACTGTAGACAGGGCACAAGGAAGCATCCTATAGTTGTGGAGGGTGCCCAGGGCACCTATATCTCCCCAGCTCTGATGGTGACCACCAGACCATCAGAAAGGCTGAACCCACCCTGTGCTTAGCTGAGCTCTGGGATCAGGAAACAGCCTTCTGAGTCTGTTTGATTTGCTTAGTATCTAAAGTCAGTCTGTAAATGGGTAAGTGACAAAGGTGTCATTGTATCCACTCTGCACCTGCAACCATGTGAGTGTGTGTATGTGTGTTTAAAGTGCTTGGAGTGTGATGTGCTTCTTGAGTCTATAGGTTAATCATTCCCATCATATATGGGTAATATTTGATCATTATTTTTTCAAATATTTTCTGTCCCCTTTCTCTCTCATCCTTCTGGATCTCATGATTTGTGTGTCATGCCCCCATTGTCCAGAGGTCATTGGAACTCTACATTAGTCTTCAGCCTTTTCCTCCTGGTGTCGGTATTGCCTTCCCTCCTGCCCTTCTAGTGTGCCAATTTGTGTAAAGTGCTGTCAGCTTGATCCAGTGAGATTTCCACTGTGCATACTTTTCTTCTCTAGAAGTTCTCTTTGGTTCTTTATCTTCCTTTTTACTCAATCTGTTCATGCTTTTTATATCCTTGAGCATAATGAGCATTCCTATAAACCCTTGTGTTCTAATTTCGTCTTTATCATTTCTGGGTTGCCTCTTGATTGACTTTTCTTTCAGGCAGATTTGCTCCTTGACATCTGCGAAGTCCTTATTGGATGACAGACACTGTGAACTTTATATTATTGGAGTGCTAGATTTTATCTCCTAGCAGGCAGTTTGGTTGTGTATGAATCTGAGGCTTGCCTTGGGGGAGTCTGGTATCACTTGTCCTCTAGAGCTGGTTTAGCCACGTAACCTTTAAATTGTATTGGCTATTATAAGTAACGTAGAGCTGATTTCAGGTGTATGGGGGATGTGTGTAGATTATGTGCAAATATTGTACCACAATCATTTTATATTGGACTGTCCATAGATTGTGGTGTATGTGGGGGTCCTGGGGGACACTTCCCATGTCCCTTAAATCATCTATACATTGTGGGTTTATCCCATTCATTCACAGACTGGCCTTGAGCCAGACCCTCAAGGAGACCCATGAACAGCTGTCAAGAGCTCTTCCTCTGTAGTGCCCACTCTGGTGCTGAGCCCTCTAAATCTGAGCAACCTTGTCCTTGCTGAACTCTGACTGCCATGGCTGGTGACCATGGTAGCATCCTCAGAAGTGTCACCCGGGTCCCCAGGTGGAGAGGAGTGGGGAGATGCATCTGAACTTTCTGTGGCTGGGCCTGGGGCCCTATCAGCTTTTTGGTATTTCCACTTGCTGCTTCCTCTACTCTGCCTTTCAGCACTGCCTTCACCCCACAGGGCTGGTGGGGCTGATGGTGGCCGCAGGGCCCCTTGCTTCCTTTGTCTTTGTCCTCATCTTGGAGTGGCCATGACTGAGTAATCCTGGGACACAGAAGCCTAGATTACTTCGTACCTGGGCCTTCCTAATTGGGTCAACCAAGGGTCAGCAACCTACAACTGACCAGCCAGATCTGGCCTGAACCAAATCTGGTCACACACAGCTGTCTTTCAGTGCCCGGGACATTCCACAACAGAGCCTGAGTCCATGTGGTCTTATGGAACACACCATGTTCATCATCAACACCAAGTTTTGGGACAGTGTGCAGCTCACAAAGCTGAAAATATTTAGGGAGAAAGTTGCAAAAGCCTAGAAAATGAGGTGCTGCTTGGGAAAGAGGGCATGAAAAACACAAGAGGAAGACCACCCCCACACATGCCCGCCCAGGCCTCCAGGTGCACATGACGCCATGATGCCTCTGCAACTGGTGCCTGGTCCTGGTGGCCACTTTCAGTTTGCAGGTCAGACAAGGTCATGTCCACCAACGCTGGAGATGGCTGCCCTTATGGGGACGTCAGTGTGCACAAGGGTGAGGTGTGGGAGCAGGGATGCTTGTGGCTCGAGTGGGGCTGGGGGACGAGGGCAAACCTGCACCAGCTGCCTAGACCCTCCTTAACAAGCCTAGTTCCCACACTACTGCCCAGGGGCTAGAATAGTGACACCCATCAGAGGGCCAATGGGGTGGACGGGGAGGTCTCCACATCCCTAGAGCATGAAAGTAGGGTCTGAGAGCTCCAGAGTGGGAAGGTGAGGGGACACTCCATGCCCCAGGACTTGGGGTGCATAAGGAGACCCCTGTGTGTCCTGGCATGGACGGATACAGGTGCCCTGGGGCAAAAGGGAGGGAGAGGGGGGTCCCTGGGGCAGAGCAGGGGTCTGAGCTCTGCTCCTCACAGTCTCTGGTGGTTCTACCCTCTGGCCACTAGTGGGTAGCACCACCCACAGGCCTGGACGGGCCTGAGTCCCTGGTGAATGCCCTTGTCCCCATAGCTGAGGGTCCTAATACACATGTGCCCATGTTCATGACATCCATACATGTGTATGTCTGCTGGGTGGTGGAGGGTGGTCCGTGGGAACACAAAGGGTGGGCTAAAGAGCGGGAGGGGCTGGGGGCTGTGGCTCCCTGATCCCACAGGCAAGACGAGCTGGACCCCAGGCTTCTTGTGGGCACAGGCTGTCATGGGGCACCAGCACTCCCTGTCCAGGTGGCTCCACTGTGGGTCAGGGCAATGGGAGATGCTGGGATCATAGGTGAGGCCAGCCTGGTCCTCAATTGAAGGAGCTTGCCTGCCTCTGCAGAAAACAGGGGCTGAGGGGATGGCACACAGCACTGGGCTAAGGCCGGCGTGCTCAAGGCCCTTGACGCCTATTGGGTTCGGTGTGAGAGCACCTATGGTGAAAATGAGATGGAGACTGGCAGGCAGGCTAAGGTGAACAGGACACAGCTGGTCTGGCCAGTTCAGGTCCCAGGTGACCTTTGCTTCTGGTCTCTTATTCTTAATATTTTGTAAATTTAGCTCCCACCCTGAAGATGCCCATCTTGAGTAGTTTAGGAAATTAACTTTTTTTTATTGTGGTCTTTGCTTTAGAAGGATTGATTTAGAAAATTAATTTTTGAATTGGAAATGTTGTAATAGATTGTCACTGAGTTGTGCTGTTTATTATTTAAAGTAAGAGTTAATGTGGTCTTTGCTTTGAACCATTATGTATAAAATTGCGATTTTGGAAATGGAAGAAAAGAACAGTCCTGGAGAGACTACTCTCACTATTCTCCAGGATCGCTGGCCTTCTGACAAAGTTTGGTGGACCTATGCCGGTCTCTGCATATTGGCTGATAGCAACAAGTGCACCCCCATGAGCCCACAGCCACTCCACAGCTTCCACTTCTGAGCAGCCAGGATGGCAAGTTGGAGACAGGGCTTGCTGCCCTCCTACCATCTGGGGGCAGCATGGGGGCCTCCATGTGGCCCCCTCAGGTAGCTCTTGCCCAGCAGTGACCCAGTGTGGGGGCCACTCGACTGCCTGGGGTGGGTCCCCTTGCAGGCTAGGAGGCCCAGGTGAGCCAACCCCACCCCAGGATATGGGGCTTCCTCTTCTGCAGTTTCCATAACCTTCCCTGTGTGGAGGCTGCAAGTCCCCCTCTCCTCTGCCTTCTGAGGACCCTCCCCAAGTCACATGTGATGTCACCTCCGGTCTGTGGCTTGATTCCATCTGCAAAGACCCTATTTTCTCAAAAGATCATGTTCACAGGTTCTGAGGGTTAGGACTTTGACATC